TATCTATCTATCTATCTATCTATCTATCTATCTTTCTATCTATCTATCTATCTATCTATCTATCTATCTGTCTATCTATCTATCTATCTATCTATCTATCTATCTATCTGTCTATCTATCTATCTATCTGTCTATCTATCTATCTATCTATCTATCTAACTATCTATCTATCTATCTGTCTATCTGTCTATCTATCTATCTATCTATGATTTGCCACACAGTTTAAAGGAAAAAACTTCGCTAAAAAAGTTTATGGGTAAGCTGGACTATTATTATCAGCACCAGCACAACTAGTTTTAGAACATTAAGCTTTCTAATAGTACATATATAACTTGTATTGCGGACGGATTTTATGTAAACCAAATTTTAATATCGCTATGTATTTTAATTTCATAAAATGCCGTATTTAAATAAAGGGTTCCATCTATCTATCTATCTATCTGTCTGTCTATCTGTCTATCTATCTATCTATCTATCTATCTATCTATCTATCTGTCTGTCTATCTATCTATCTATCTATCTATCTATCTAAAGTATCTAACTATGTCTATCTATCTATCTATAGTATCTGTCTATCCATCTATCTGTCTGTCTGTCTATCTGTCTGTCTGTTGGTCTGCCAGTCCGTCTATGTCTATCTGACAGTCTGTCTAGTCTGTCTGTCTATACCTTATCTATCCAGTGTAATTTTCCAATGATCTTGAGTGATGCCAACACCCACCATGAGTAACAAACATCCGGGAGTTTCTCTGGACGACCTGGTATGAATTAAAAACAAATATTTAAACTTTTCTTTTTCTACGTTTCTATAAACCAACTAGAAAGAAAAGACGCGCGAAAATATTCCACTTGGGTCAATGTGCTCGTTATCTCTTCTCTATAACCCCATCTCCTTCGCTGCATTAGAGCACTTTCCGGCTGAACATAAATTAACAACCTAGAGTAATCACAGCGAAAAGGAACATCCCTATCAGTTCCGGTTTTGCGATGTGTGATTGAGAGGATGTCCACTGAGAGTTTTAAACTCTAATCACGGAGAGTTGTAAGACAGAACCGGGATAACTATTAACACTACCGACTGAAAATTGTTCTGTAACCTCTAGAAAAGTAATTTGGTTTTATCAGCTGAGTTGATAGTGTAAACTGGTCACCGTAAAGAGTTTCAAAGCTGACGTTTCGAGCGTTAGCTCTTCGGTAGAGCGAATAACGAAGGGCTAACGCTCGAAACGTCACCTTTTAAACCCTTCACGATGGCCAATTTACACTATCAACTCGGTTGATAAAACCAAATATCATGTTTCCCGCAGCACCACAGTTTCTTTGGAAACTTATCCCTTTATTCAACCTCTAGAAAGGGTTTTCTGCAATCTTAAGCCTTTATCAAAAAATTAAAAAAAAGATAGTCTGACTAATGATTCACAGTTCCAGCATAATGAACAACAGTCCAGCCCATCATTTCTTTAGTTCCAGCTGTTCTGCCGCTATCCCACTGTCTGTGAGGTGCAAGTGATAGAGTGTAGTTATTCTTTAAAACTCACCATTTAAACCACCAGATGGCAGCTGTCGCTCACAAAGCCACCATCCTAACATATCAGCATTTACATGATGAAGAGAGTCTGCTATGGCAAGAGCTCCCAGACAACAATAAATCTGTGGAGAGGAGTAATTGAACATGCACTACACAAGCCACTTCAGAAACCAAAGAAGCAAGCATTCATTCAAGTTCTCAGAGTGTTCAAGGCTGATACGTAATCTAAAACAACAACCAAACATAAGATCAAGTTTCATCCAAGATTTGTTCGATGTTGTTCAGTGCTGAGATATTCCATCCTTGCATAAGGAAGAGATGTTAGCAAGAGGTAAGGGTGTTGTAATTGAAATCCTGTTGTCACCGATTTATTTAATCCAGTTTGTAACTCAATCACTTTATTTTCTAAGCTGTTCTGAGTTCAACTCCATGCATGTAATTTGATAACTGTCTTCTGCTCTACCTCATTCTGGTTCAAACTAAACAACCAAATGATAATGTGGAAATTTTGACTCTATTGGCTCTGAAAAGTCCCTCTTGCAAAGTTATCTGTACATAAATACATAAAATACATATATTGTATGGTTTTTAAAATTAGTTAGACTATTGCAAATATCTAAGATAATGTAAAATCACCGACAGCTCTATCACCTGCCCTGAGTGTGACTCTGATCCTGGTCTGCAACCAAAGCCACCATCAAAATTCATACACGACAACACATATGTGACAGCCTTTGTTACATCTATTGCTTCCAGGAAACCCTATTAAAAGTCAAAGATAACCTTATAATCATGATATGATGAGTATGTTTGTTCAAATAATCAAGCTTTATTCACAGGTATAGCTATGAGAAAACACAGTTACTCTAAGCTTTCCACAGCAGAGGCCAGTGGACATTCTTTAGCACCCAGAAAAGTAAATCAGATTAAAGAATTTGTAACAAATTTCACAAACCTACCAGCAATTTTAAGCTAGCAAAAGCACAAAATGAGAACCTTGTATCAACTTCTCCTAGGGATAAGAAAACCAACAAAGAATAACTACCTAATTATATAACAAATCATAGCATCTTCCTCTTGGTTTCCTAAGACTTGATCTGAATGAAGGACTTTATTAAAGTTTCAATAATATTTTGCTTGAAGAAAACTAATTTCATACACTATTTACCCATTAAAATTTACCTGAGCTACATAAATTTAAGATTATTTACACCTCAATTCATAACGTATAGAATAGATAGATAAGTAAATAAGTGAATGAAGTATAAGAAATGAGTAAAATAAGCTTTGAAGATATCAAATATATGTAGAATGTAAATGACCTTGATCTAAGGTCAGAGAAAAA